ATCAATATGAAACGAACCATGATATCAGATGGAGTCTATTAGGTTACCAGCTTAGTTTTGAGTGTTATACCATATCACAACAAACAGTTAATGCTATCTGTGACCGTTCTACTTGGCTAAGAAGTCTTGCTCTTTGCACGTCGTCTGGCCGTCACCAACCGGGAAAGTGAGTGACAGTCACGGCTATCATCCAAGTGTGTCGGTAGTATTTAGTGTTCGATTTATAACAGTATGCACCAAGTTTTATTTTTGTTATATTTAATAGAGCTGTACATGTACTGGTTTGCCTGCGTAGACTGAGAATTCCGCGTTTTTCAGCGTAATATAATGCGCGTAATTGGCTATTTTGGATCAAATTTTCATTTTTAGTCAATCTGTGAGTCTGTTTTATGCCAGAAAAGTCATCAGGGTATCATTGAAAAGATTTGCATTCAAGATTTCAGTAACATGTATGCTTAAAGTGGGGGAGTCGTCACATGTGCATACATCAGATAGTCATAGCGTGTCGTTGTTTACAAACACGGGTCTAACCATGAGCCTTTGCGTTTTAGCGTGTGTTGTTATCGTCGAGTGGGACTCAATTCCCGCGCGTGCGCAGGTGACGATCCTACCGCTTTAAGCCATTTTTCTTAATATAAAATATATATTGTTATAGAACAAACTTATGTGACTGCCTGTAGATATTAATTGTCGTTTAAAAAATAAATAAAAATAAAACAAAGTCCATACAGAAGTATATTATTAGTCAGTTCTTTTTATTGAAAATATAAAAAGCGATAAGTATTTATTATTTCTGACAACCATAGGAGGCGCTATTTCTATCCATTTTATCCGACAGTGTTTGTATTGTATGACAGAGAGGGCGTACCTCATAGTTACGATCCGGCTCTTCAACCCATCAACGTGAGAACCAAGGCATACGCTATATTCAACTATAGATGTGTGCACTGTGTATGCAAATTAAATGCAAATTGAATGATGTTTTGCAATAACAATGAGATTAGTATATGTGTTGTACTTTTGTTCTCCTTACATCAAAGAACACCGTAATATCTGCGTGTTGGTTATTCATTACATTTACACAAAATCGTACAATAAACTAAGTCATATTTCAATGCTGTACACACGTCTAACTTATCGATATTGCTAGGAATGAGATAATCTTTATATTTCTCATTGAATCGGTATATGTGTTCCTAGAGACCACTTCAAAGTAAAATAAGATCATTTATCTAACAGACTGGGAATTGGGATTTTACAGTAAGTTGCACGAGTAACGCACATTTCAAGATGTGATGGTTTCTATACGTATCAGCCGGGTTCAGTCTGTGAGCATTGTGCGTGACTATAGAAAAACATAGCGATTGTCAAGTTCCCTGTATATTTATTTTGAAACCAACATTTTTAGACGTAGGTGGGCGCTACCTCGATACAATAATGTTAAAGGACAATGACCAGGACGCATTCGACGGTTATATTAATTTTGCTTCAATATGCCCCTGTTTTCTGATTGGCGTGTATCTATGACGCGAACTATGCTCCATACGCACTTTGTACAGATGCACAATAGTTGTGTGATATTGATATGTTTTATTTCTTTGTCAGCAAAAAAAGTTGAAACGTGGCTGAATCCAGAAACATTTAGTGTTGACTAGTGGTTTTTTATCAGCTCTCTAAACACTCGTCGCTGTACAAAAAGTGTAGAGTGTACTTTACGATCATTCACAGTGCGACCATTTCAAGTGAATACTGATTATGTTACAGTTTGACTGTGTGATCACAAATAGGAGCAGGCACACTGCTTGCATGTGTGAGATGCATAAAATTTAGGGTTTGTGTGCAGCCATATTTCTAGAAGTTACAATGATGTTTGTAGTGGTCCCAGGAAGCTGGACAGAATAACATAGTGTAGTGTTATGCATTTTCCTTTTTAATGCCTTCGTGATATAGGTAGGTTCAAATCTATCAACAACAAAACTTTCAGAATTAAAAAATAGGTAAAACTGGTAGTGTATTGATGTGGAACGCACTATTTCAGCCAATGTAATAATACTGAAAGGTATTGTATTAGCAGGTGATTTATTATAAATACATTAAGCATTATTTAGTCATATAATAACATTTAAAATGTTTATTGCATGAAAATCGTTATTACATCCCACCAGAATATGTTTAGTGTTGTAATCGTATATACGCCGACCCCAATCATAGTTGTTAGTCACTGAATGTTACTTGCAATTCCGTGAATTGTGGCTTACACGTTTTCAATCACGATTTTACAGGAAATCTATTTCACAAGAATTATTTCGAGTGATAGCATGAGAAGCCACTATCGCTTAAGTACGGTTAGTCAGTCAATGTTGTCAAGCGCCACGAATTATTTTCATCCTTTCTGTGAATTGTGCTAATATATGTGACTCTTCCTTGTTTCTGGCGAAATAATAATGGTACCCGAAATGCATTACTGACAACAATTCATTCGTTGTTTTACAAGCAAAGGTAACATAATTTCACGGCTCATACGCTAATTCGTAAGAAATTAAATTTTTAACATTCACTATACGCAATCGCACTAAGCATATACGTGGCGTGTCTTCAAATCATCAATAATGTAATCACCGTTTGATGAATTATGTATGTGGTTATAGGAAATAATACCACTAATCCATTTCACTGATTAGATCACTCAAATCAGAGACAGAAAGTCATTCTCTTGAAAAGTTCAACCCAATTTTCCTCCAGATATGTTCGACGTTAAAGTATATGTACTGAGAGGGTACCATCAAATGCTCTGCAAATGTTAAATTTTACGTGTCACGTTTGATTTGATTGCTATTGCTTTTTATGTTTAATAACATGGATACTACAAGACGTAATAATGCTTTATCCATTCAACCAAATATTTTGAAACACCATCAATTGTTTTCAGGAGACTTATTCGTTAATATATGGGTATAAACATCTGATATTAATTTTTCTCAGCGTTTTTTATAGCAATATTAACGCAATTGTGACCGGGAAAGCAGCTAGAGATATTGTGCCACGTCTCCGTGTGACAGATTCCAATAATAATTTGTATAATACTAAAATTTAATAAATGTAGTACCTGGAGCAGATAAGGGCATATTTATAGTCAAAATGATGTAATATATAAACTATTCATTACATGGACCCATAATAACACTGATTTGTACAATCATTTACCTTACCCTTATTAACATAACTGCAAGGAATTCTCATTTCTGCTTACATAATGCTATACACAATTATAAAAACGTAGACATATTATGTATTATTTCGAGTAGAAGGATTGACATATAAGGATAAAATGTCACTGTTAACGAGAGCATATGGTCTTTCCTTTAAACATTATTAATACTTTTTCAAATCTATTACACATGAATAACAACACAGCATAACACAAAGTGTCAATATTACCTTATAAGTCGTTCATTTTGTTAAACGTCACATATTGCCCATGCTCAAATTTGATTATAAATTGTATTCAGATTTTGATCGTATATTAAAGTAAAGTAAAGTACGAACATAAAAATACGCAATACGCGATTCGAACCTACGACCTCGGTAAGGCGTCTCGGTTTGATAACATGATGTTATTTCAAATTGTGAAATTACTGATGGACCGCGACTACCTAAATGAAGCTGAATTCCGTCAGCAGATACTCAAAAAGTAACATTTAATTTCACATTTATATTCATTTATAACATATTTTCCATGAATCTTACATTAAATGACAATATATTCCAATGATATATCCAATTGAGCTTGATATTTTCTACAGATCTACTGGCCGTAACATTAAAGAGGTTGTTGGCAGATATAAAAAGGTTACATACGAAAGACACACGATAATCACTGATGAATTCGGTGTCAATTGTATGATTTGTTTTGTTATTGCCGATTATTTTTTGTTCCCGGACTTAAACGTTATCTATGACTTTTGTTCACATATCTACGGCTGGGTATGTTATTTCTACTTTACTTAACAATATAATGCACCCACTGGACATATCTGACAAATGGTAGTCAATGAACATGCGTATACTGGTTCTACTAGTAAATACATAACTAGGGTATAAAGAACTGATGAAAAATCATATTGTGCGTACATGAAGCAGATTGTCCAGACTGTAATACGAATTTACAATAATGATACTAACAACAATATGAATGAATGAATGAATAATTGAAGAACACTTTTGTTATAATGAAATAAGTTTAACCAACATTGATTTGTTCACTATTTTCATATACATGTACGTAAATTATTCTAAAAATTCTTTTATAATTCTAAAAAAACGAGCTGAATAATTTAATTAATTTAAAAATTTAATATTATAATTTTTAAATGCATCAACCAATATATCTTAAATTTCATAATGCTATCTTGTTCACTAAGTAAATTCATCTTCTTAAGGCCGCAGTGCTGGTAATCTGCGTTAATTCCAATAAGCAAGTAAACAAAATGCTTTATACAGTCCATACGATTAGATTTTGTTTACATACGCGACACTTACGGTCACTGAATAACACCGTTTTCTCACTTAGCCGTTTTACCAGTGTAAATTATGAATCAAAACATTATATATAGGCTGTATCGATCTGTTAATGATTTTCTAATTCTAGGACTTCTCGATTCCCAACACATCTAGGGATTTCACATGTCAACCAGATTTTAAATACATTATCTTTTCCATCTGATTTCTCATATGCAAAATCCTAATGCAAAGTGAGTCCGCACACATTAGGGAATGAGTAACCCACATCATCTGAGGTATCAGTCATTGTTAATTATTAGTAACATTCCCTTGAATGTCCACGTGTCCAGAGACTACGATAACTCTCAGAAATATCACGCGCTTAGTGGTTCTCAGAATTTTTTTTTTTCTGAAAACAAGATTGTTATAGTAAATTTCCATGTAATGTATGTGTTCGAACACAGAAATTACACAATGTTGTGTATGTAGCTAATACATTCTCAAGTATTAGAAGGCGTGGATGTTACGTTCGAGACCAGTGTGTTTGGTTTAGTAGAGTTATGAGTATTAGAACGTTGTGATGTACCGGCACTTGGGACTACTTGTGTGCTTGTGTTGAATGATGGAAATAAACGCACAAACTCTTTTCTAAAGTTCTCATTGAAATACGCGTACAGAATGGGATTGATCCAACTGTTGCAGCAGAAAATGAAAAATGTTATGTTAAGTGGAACGGTAGAATAAAGAAGAGGAATGGGTGGTATGTCTGAGCTATACTTATAGTACATCTGTAAACAATGGTAGGGTGCCCACGTGACCATGAATTGTACAACCACAAAGCTTAACATCTTAAGAGCTTTCTTTTTGCTACGTGTAGTCGAATTAGTTGGACTTTTGCCAAACCATAATGTTGTTATCATTATAGAGTACAGGATCACTAATACCACGAGAGGTATAAGATAAAACACAATTAGGTCGATCAGCCGAATGTAGGTTTCTAAATCAATTTGATCATAAAGTACACCGCATTTGTATTCAATTGCAGTGTTGTTGCCGGGAGAGGAATATTTGGGGTTTAATCCCATAAAAATAAGTGGACCAATAGAGTACAATAATGATATAGCCCAAACAATACCACATCCAATGAAAGCATGTTCCACGGTCACTCGTGGTCGCAGGGGTTGCACAATAGCTCGGTAACGATCGGCGCCGATGCATATCAGAGACAGCGTGGTACCACAAAGGGAGCAACTTTGCAAGTAACCTACGATTTTGCAGAGAACGACATTGTGCAAAGAACTGAAATAACCCCACACCGCAACGTGTTGCGGGACAGTAACAAGTCCAACGAGAATATCAGAAACTGAAAGTGAAACTATAAATATATTTGTCGCTGATTCCCGTAGTTTAGGTTGGCGGACAACAGCAATAATCACCCACACATTTCCACAGAGAATCATCAGTACGAATATAATTCCAAATATTAGAACAAATTCTTTGGGAGTGTCAAGAGCGTAGACTTTTATCCAGAATTCTTTTGTTTGAAGCGGGTCGACTTCAACGTCTTCTGTACCTACGGACGTAGTATATTCCTGTGTTGCTTCCATGTTGGTTCAATTACTCACGGCACTTTTACCTGCAAATGAAACACAAGATTAATGGCTTATACACATTGTTAAAATAATTATCAATGTGTCCCATATATATATTTATAAATACATGCAAAAGATAACGAGATAATGTAGCCGTTATGTACTGATAATTATCGCTTGTTTGATTTATC